TATTTGTCTCTCTAGTTGCAAATGGGAAGCATGGTTGATTTTTTTTTTTTTTTTTTTTTTTTTGCTTTGCATGACTTGAAATTCGAGGTATCCCATTAGCCTGGTATTTATGCTAAAATGCTAACAGGTTGTGAAATTGTTTTGTACCGGGGTCTTTCCAAAGGCAGCTACGGAGATACCTCATTGGAGGCCCCGCCCTCTGAGACCCAGGGTGGATACCAGACTGGGATGGGAGCCATGCCTCCCTGGAGTTCCACCTGTTTGGGTTACTGTACTGAATTCTGGGCTGAGTCAATCCTGAGCTGCAGCCTGACTTTGCCTTGAGAAGACAGGGTAAAGGACCCACAGACAATCTGGAGTTGTGTGTGTTGGACTATCAAGCAGTAGCGTTTGGGGCAGGTGGGACAGAGTGACCTGGCCCCCTGCAGGGAGCACAAACAGCCAGCCTGGGAAAGACACAATTCCCTTCTGCCTTCATTTTATTTTATTTTAATTTTTTAAGATTTTATTTGTTTATTTGACAGAAAGAGACACAGCGAGAGAGGGAACACAAGCAGGGGGAGCGGGAGAGGGAGAAGCAGGCTTCCCGCCGAGCAGGGAGCCCGGTGCGGGACTCGATCCCAGGACCCTGGGATCATGACCTGAGCCGAAGGCAGACGCTTAACGACTGAGCCGCCCAGGCGCCCTCCTGCCTTCATTTTAAAGTCTTGTATGTGTCTTTTCACACACAGGGTTGATGACAGAGAATGGCATGTTCACAAACAGACTTTTGAGCCAAGGAATGCCCACAGTAAAGCACGTTCCCTAGTAACCATACCTCTTGGGAGTGCAATACTGCCGGAAAGCCTGTTCATTTTAAAGTGTCCCAACAAGAGGAGGGTTGGGGTGCTGCCAGGGTGAGATGTCAGAGCCTGTGTAGTTTACGGCACACCCCTCAGTACCATAAACTAGAGCATCGACCCAGCATTCCCTGGGTTGGGCCGCCATCTTGTTTCCAGTATTTTTCATCTTTCCCTGGGCAAACAGGATTAGCTTCATAGATGTTCTGATCATATCTAGCCGTAATGCATTTTACCTTTTAAACTGAGTCTCAGGGCGCCTGGGTGGCTCATTCGGTTAAGCTTCTGACTCTTGATTTTGGCTCAGGTCATGATCTCAGGGTCATGAGGTTGAGCCCTACATCGGGCTCCGTGGTCATCATGGAGTCTGCTTGAGATTCTTTCTCTCTCTCCCTCTGCCCTTCCCCCTGCTCACACTCTCTAAACAAACAAACAAATAAATAAAGTCTTTAAAAAAAAAAGTAGAGTCCTTATTCCAGAGTAGAAATGGTTTATAAATCAGCTTTGTGCTGTCTTCAAGAACATTTACAAGGGTGAGTCTGGACAGCCGCATTGGGAGCTCTGGATGATTAGTGAAGGGCCTTTACCTTCCCTTTCGTTTTGGAGTTCTTTCCTCAGGATGTTATATAGCATGATTATAGGGAGAAAGATTCAGTGACATCAACCCTTTAGATGCATTTTTGTGGCTGTGTTCCTAGTTCTTTTGGGGACAGGAGTAATTAAATTATTTCCAGGTCTCTAGAGTGTTCCAAGAGAAGAAGGAGCTGAGTCAGTCGTACAAGAAGCTTACTTGAAAAGGAACATGGAAGGAGTGAAGTGAGATTTGAAGACATTACAGGCCTTTCTCTGGCAAGCGTTAGCCAAACTCAGGACTACCTGGGCCTGGTGTTCTTTGGCCCCAAGTCTTAAACAAAGGAATACAGTTTCAAGATAAGACCTATTTGCCTAAATATGTGACTATTTGAGCTTCTGTCTTGAAGCTGGAGAGAGCACAGAAAAGTGAACAATGGCCCCCGCTCTGTTCTGTCTGCGCAGGTTATGGTGACGGTGACATGTGCTTGTCTTCGCATTCCCATGACGCTTTGCTCCTGGCCTTCCCCCTTGATCTGCAGGAGTGAACCAGGTCTCCACCTTGGGGACCCTCAGTCCACAAAGTCCATCCTCCATAAACGCTCTCTTCTATAGAGAGGAGGGGGGAGGGGGGCTTATCTGGAATACACAGTTCAGCTTTCTGTTGGTGCGATTTTGAAGTGGTTTATGTAACCGAGGAGTTGTCTACTCGCTTTGGAAAAAGATAACTCAAGCATAAAGCAGGTGGGCTCATGGCTGGCTGTTTTTACAGGAGCCCCTTATGTTCCTAGATGTTGGCTTCATGGAGTCCTGTTCTGGGGTCAGAGTTTCACATCTGTTATCGGAGAAGTACTCAGTCCCACTGCAGATATTAGATATTGTTTCTACTTAACGTTAAAAATCCAGTATCAGTATCAGAGTCCCTCAGCGGGAAGGCCGAGCGATGAGGATTGCATAGCCCTATTTATACAGCTTTGTGTGATCGGGATGCTCTGAGGAGCTAACCTGAAAACCTCAGGAGGGACCCTCATAAACACAGGTGTGTGTGGGTCAGGGGAGACTGGGTCAAGAGCAGGGTTGTTCATCAGATTTAGGCAGAGGTCAGCCCTGGACATTCTGGCCCCTTGGGGAGGCCGACTGGCTGGAAGGGTCTGCTGAACATCAGGCCCCCACCTAATGCTGCTCCAAGCAGGGTCCCCTGTGTGGTGGTGAAGGCTTGCCCCCGTTCACCGGGGTTGAGAGAATTTAATCCCCCTTGTGGATAACACCTTAATGCAACTAAAAGAAGATTACTTATTTTTAAAGCCTTTCCATTTTGTTCTTGTCCATTTGACAAATGAAGCATTATTACTCCCAGGATGGCAGGGGCAGCGGCCGGCCGGGACGAGGATTGGTCCCATCATTGTCCCTCAGCTGGGCTCATGGCCACAGCGCTAGCGGCATTTCGTTGGGCCAAGCTGTGACGTTGGGGCAGCCTCGGATAGCCGTTTTAGTTTGGCCCCCTCCTGCTGAGCACTGCAGGGAGACCAAGGAGGGCCTTGTCTGCGTGACGGGTTTTATGTGGGGGATCAGGACTCCTAGGGCCGGAAAGACCCTCCAGTGGGTCTCGGTGAGAGGACATTGGGACCCACAGATGCTCTGTCTTTAGTACCTTGTACTTACTCTCTTGATGTGACTCGAACAGGAACTGTGACCATCAGAGTCTTTGCATTCTAGAAGTTTTAAAGTCTTTTAAGTCTAAATCCGCTTGTTTATTTATTTGCTCTTATTCACGTGCTTAGGCCACCTACATATCCAGGGATGGGGTAGCGGAGAAGCTTTGTCTAGAACTGGATACAAAGGAGAACCCACTCCTTCTTGCTCAAGAGTACTGATGAAGCCGTGGGATTTTATGCTAAAATTCTAGTTAGCTTAGTAGAGAAGTTTCCAGAGACCTAATGGGAGTCAAGCAGTCATCCTCTGGTGTCTTACTCAGAGTGCTGTGAGGCCCCGGGCAGTCAAGACGAGGACAGCGAATGTCCTTCTTGTCATTTGTGTTTGTAGCTCATCTGGCATGAAAATGTGTTCCTCCAAAAAGGATTGTTTATAGAGCATTTATTTTTAAAATGAATAGACGACATTTCTTATACAAACATTTTTTTGTTCCAACCTTTTGTGAACTTGGGAGAGGCAGTAAGATGATGAAGGTATGTAAACTCAGGCACGTAGCTCGAGTTCCTTCGCGAGACCTTGCTGGGACGGGGGAGACCAGTGTGGGGTGGTGTCTGCCAGGACGGAGAGCAGGTGACACTTTCCTTTCTCATTCTGTGCCGTCGACCCTTCGACGGTGGACACTGGGGACGGACGCTGGGGGTGGATGCTGGGGGTGTCGCAGTGTCTGGGTCAGGTCTCCTCGGGAGGGGCGGATGGGCCGGCAGGGGGTGGGGTGGGGGTGGAGAGGCTCTGGATGCGGGACCCGTTGGGGGTGGGGAGGAAGCAGTTAGCTGGGGATGAGAAAGAAGGGGGCAGATGTCCTAGCCTGATGTCCTAGCCTGAACTTGGGGAAACAGCAGGCCGGATAAAGGAACTATTTGGATAATCTTTCCACTTGGTATTTTATTTTAGATTCTGATAAATCCACCAGAGAATTAAAGAATTTTCTTTTCCTTCCCAAGTGACAGCCGGCAGTGTTCCCTTGGGAAGGTGGGGGTCCCTCCTGCCTCACGCTCCGCCTCCTGATGACTTGGCTCTGGCCTGGCACGGGCGCGCCCCACAGCGCCCTTCCTCCCAGCAGGTGCGCACCTGGCACCTGGCCCCTCATCATCCCTCTCACCCCTGGGGGCTTGCTCGGCCTCCTGTGAGGGCAGGGGTGACCCCTCATTCTAGAAGATCCTCTCCTGTAGAGGCGTTCTGTGGCGGAAACTTGATATTTCTCTGTTCGGTAACCTCTCTCTCTAAAATGCTTTGTGATTTTTATCGGGAATGTGGCCTGGTTTGTTCCTGGTGTAATTATTTGTCTTTGTTTTATAGGTCCTTAAGCGAACTCACTTTATAATGCTATTTTTGTTAAGGCTGTATAATTTCCTAAGTGTTTAATACTTTATATGTTCTTTGAAATATCCCCAAATCTTTGGAAGCCACAGTAGGTTGAAAATTATCTAGATAGAAACAATTTAGGGTGTTCCGAGTATATTTTTAAGTTTTTTGCTTATAAAATCTATCATTTGTTTTCCTTCTTTCTTTTTTTAAAAAGTTTTTTTTTTAAGATTTTATTTATTTATTTGACAGACAGAGAGTATAAGTAGGCAGAGCGGCAGGCAGAGGGAGAGGGCGAAGCAGGCTCTCCGCGGAGCAGGGAGCCGGACGTGGGGCTCGATCCCAGGACCCTGGGACCATGACCTGAGCCGAAGGCAGCCGCTTAACCGACGGAGGCACCCAGGCGCCCCTCGCCTGTTTTCTTTCTAAGGGTCAGTTTTAGAGAGGGGAGACGGCTAATGGCTTTTACTCCATATGAACATGGAGGTGTCTGTGGACTCAGCTGGTGACGAGAAACAGAGCACGGTATCCAGGAAAAACTTTTTATTTGGAAAGAATATAACGACTCGATTTGGGCAAAACAGAGTTTAGCTCCTGAGAAATGCATTTGGAAGAAAAGATTTGGAATGTTGTTTCCAGTTTTCCAACCATTCCATAACAGAAAAGATGTGAATCTGGGTACTTACCAAGTTTGGAACTCTCAAGTCTTGTCCTTGCTAACTTTTCAGGTCCTGATTATTCAGTGAACTAAAGGGCTATTTGGAACGAATCCTCCTTTCTGTCCCATTTCATGCCTCCCGCAGGTCGTGTCTTGTCGCGTGGTGGGCGAGGCCATTCAGTTCCTGGTCCGCGCGGGGCCCACATCCCCCGAAGACACGGGGCACCAGATGTACGGCGCACGGCTCTCCCCGTTTCACCTACAGGTGAGTTTGGGTAGACCGAGTGAGTCTTGGGAAGATGCTCACAAACCTATAGGGTAAGCCTGGTGTGATCGCGGGGCCCTGATTTCCCAGGCTTTTATTAATCATTTATTTCATAATGTTCAAACTGTAGCCTTCTATATTATATTGTATCTGTAGGAAATAAAGTGTGTGTCATGTGTATGCACATGCTGTATACACGTATACACACATGTATCCACACCCACACAAACACGCATCTATGGCTACGTACAGATGTATATCATGAATTCAGAGGTTGCCCAGCTACCACTGTTGGGAGAGACGATACTTTTCAAGGCGTTTAAAGAGATCAGGGGTGTTGCTGACAAGCAGAGTTATGGTGAGTGGCATCCGCGGTGAGGACAGTGGTTCTGTTCGGGGACCCCGGACCAGACCCCAGCAGTCCTCTGCAGCTGGGACACCCGTGTAGCCACTGGACTGGGCGTTCCTCTTTTTAGTTTTTGGGAAAAGTCAACTTTAAAAGGACTCTTACTGTTTTGTATAAATTTAAAAGGGGAGTATTACTATTATTTTTCTCATAATACACTGACTGTTGTCATAGCAAATTTGTACAGACACACCTCACTTCATTGCCCTTTGTCGACGCTGCATTTTTCACCCATGGCAGCTTCGTGGCAGCCCAGCGTAGAGCACGCCTGTCGGCACATTCCTCCAGCAGCCTTCGCTCGCTGCGCGTCTGTGTCGCATTTGGGTGATTCTGTCATCTGTCATGCTTTTCCCTTATTACATTTGTCACGGTGACCTGTGCTCAATGAGGACGACCCGCTGAAAGCTCACATGATGGTCACCATTTTTCAGCAATAAAGTATGTTTGGTTTTCTTCCTTTTTTTTTTTTTTTAGATGTAATGCTTTTGTATACTTAATAGACTACAGTATAACTTTTACAAAAATACGTACTTCTTTGAGAGAGAGAGTACAAGAGCGTGAGACTGGGGGGAGGAGCAGACTCCCCGCTGAGCACGGAGCCCGACGCGGGGCTCGATCCCAGGACCCTGAGATCATGACCTGGGCCCAGATCAAGAGTCGGACACTCGATTGACTGAGCCACCCTGGCGCCCCTACATACAACTTTTATATGCACTGGGAAGCCAAAAACTTAACGTGCCTTGCTTTATCGCGGTGTTCTAGAAGCAGATCTGCTGTATCTCTGAGGTTTGCTCGTATATATGTTACATCATATTAATAATGACCTCTGTAGCAGTTATACAGAGACATATATAATAATCATAATAGGCTTATTAGGGGAATTTCTGGATGGCTGAACCCTCAGATAACAGTGTGTCCCTCACATGAAGCTTGGGTCCACAGAAGCTCTGTTCAGCCAGCACGTGAACGTTGTGAATTTCTGGGTCTGTTTTAGGGGTCACTGCGGCTTCAACCCCATGTTTCCCCTCCTCTGTCCCCGTGCTTGGCTGCTAATTTGGGGGATGAGCCTAAGTCGTACAGCACCCTCAACCACAAGGGAAGGGGATATTCCGTATGCTTTTCTTACATAGACATGGTTTTGAAGAGCCAGGGCAAACAGGATTTTCTGGCTAGCTAAACGGTTTTTTTTTCTGCGAGCCAGCCCCCACAGCCTCCCTCACTAACACTCCCTTCCTGAGAGCTGAGGAGGGTTGTTACTTCATGCACTTGTCAGATGTTCATGCCCTCCTGCTCCCCCGAACATTTTGGACAGTGTAATTGCAAAATAACTCCGAAGCCTGGGACACGTGTAGCCGACGCCAGACACCTGTTTCAGGAGTGAGTCTAGCAAGACCCATAAACCTCCACGAAGGACATGGAGTTTCCGAGATGCTGTTTATGTGCCATTTCATGCAGCTCAGAGACAAGTAACACAGTTGTATCTTGGATCTCTTAACACAATTGAAAACCGCTCTGTGGATTCCCTCTGAAAGCAGAGGGAGCTACTGGAGATCGATCAGTTATTCATGCTGCAAGCAGGAGACGCTGCTGCTCTGTTCTTCAGATGAAAGGAGCACAAGGGGGCCCGCCTTGGTCTCGCTGCCCCATGACCTGCCTGGGCTGGGGGCAGACTCGGGGACTTGCAGCAACACAGTCAAAGTGCACATTTCCTGGCATCACCCAGGATTACGGGGCGAGGGAAGGCATCGCCTGCCTTACTCCGATGCTGGCGTGAGCCGAGGCTCCCGAGGGGTGGGTAGTACCGTCCAAAGCTGCCCTTTCTTTCCTCCTTTGCTGAGGGGGGGGGGAAGGGACAGAGGCAAAGAGCTGGGATCTGTGTTTTGGAAAGAGTCTCTGGCTGAAAAATGAAGGGAGGGGTATTCGTTTGCCGTGCCTGCTGAAGCAAATCACCGCAAACTTAGCTTAAAATGTAAATGTAGGGGCACCTGGATGGTGCAGTCGGTTGAGTGTCTGACTCTTGGTTTCGGCTCAGGTCATGATCTCAGGCTCATGAGATCGAGCCCCGTGTCGGGCTCCGTGGTCAGCACAGAGTCTGCTTGGATTCTCTCTCTCTGTACCCCCCCCCCCCGCAGTGTGCGCTCTCCTCCCTCCCTTCTAAAAAAAAAATAATTAAAAAAAAAAACATAAATGTATTATTATGTTGCCATTCTGGAGGTCTGATGTCCAACATGGGCTAACGTTGGCAGGTGACCTTCCTGTCTGGAAGCTCTGGGATCATCTGCTTCCTTGCTCATTGGGCTGTTGGCATGATTCGGTTCCTTACGACTGTAGGGCTGAGGGCCTGTGTTCCTGCCGGTGGTCAGCTGAGGGCCGTGGGCAGCTTAAGGCCACCTCGTTCCTGAGTTCCTGGCACCTTCCCTCCATCTTCAAGGCACCTCTCGCCGGCCTGCTCTCTTGCTTTCTTTTTCCCCTCTCTGAGGGCTCCCTGGGATGACCCAGCATTATGCCTCCGTTCACGGTCCTTAGCCTGGTCCCTCCTGCAAAGCCCCCTTTGCCGTATCTGGTCACATATGCACAGGTTCCGAGAACTCGGGTGTGGACACCTTTGGTGGGGGGCATTATGCTGCCACCACGGATGGGTCCGGTCCGACGGGTTATTGCAAGAGCTCAGAGTCCAGTTGGAGGGCGTGCGCTGGCCCAGGCAAGAGAGCATGAGAACACCGTGCGCTGTGGGCACAGCCTCAGGGAGTGTGGCAGCGTGGGGTTGGGCTAAGCATCCCCCTTCCCCCCCGTTCCTCCCCGTCCTGCGTGCCTTGCTATCACTCCCAGAAGAGAATGCAAGGCACAGAGAATTCCTCACTAAGAGACTGCAGAGTTTTAATGACACCTGGCCTTCCAGCCTCCAATGCTGAGAATCCTCTGGTAGGTTGAGGCCGAGGAGGGTGCTGGCGGGGAGGGGTGGGGTGAAGGGGAGGCCCAGGGAGTTCAGAGTTTTCCTTCCCATTTCGAAAGGCAAGGGGCGGCCAGGCAGGCGCCTAGGGAAATAAGTGAACACACACGCGTGCACACCCACACAGATGCCCACGGACACACGCATGGACGTGTGTGGAGGTTTTGCTGGAGCATGTAGCTCTCTGGTAACCTTGTGTTTTGATAGCTGGAGCTCCACATGACAGAGAAGAGAGAGGACATCCAGATCAAGTGGTCCTTCGCCAGCGCTCCGGAGACGGCCATTACGGTCCAGCCCAAAGCAGTGGTGGAGGTCAGTCTGTGGGTTTTTACGATCTTCCCCCTATCGGCGTATGTCGGAACACATGCACATCATGACCCCCTGATCTGGGGAATAGAGGCTCTGCCCAGCGGCCCTCCGATGTGGGCAGGCTTCTCCCCCTCCTCCCGGAGCATGGGGCCACCCTGACGGGGCAGGAGGGACCGTGGCTGGGCTGGATGTAACACTGGGCCCTCAACCCAGCCGCACCTGCCATCACCTGGCAGCTTTAGAAAGCCCTGGGCCTGCCCCCTGCCACCCCCCACGCAGGTTTCTTTGGGCCTGGAATTGTTTCTAGTGCTCTTGTGCCGCCGAGGCTGAGGACCACTGACGTCCTGTCGCCGCGGGGTTCCTCGACGGGCTGCCATGCTTGCTCGTCAGACCTTCTGTCCTTCCCTGTGGCACTCCCCAGACAGCTCAGGTTGCGGCCGTGGCCTGGCTCCCAGGGGCAGGCGTCTCTCCCCCCAGTTTCTGCAGAAGTGCTTCTCAAATTGGAAGGCAATCTCTCTGCTTCCCACGGTCCGAGGTGTTGGAGGAAATGAATTTGGAAGCAGGGAGTGGGTGGATAAAGTCACACTGGGGTCACTTTCAGTGGCTGGAAAGATCATGCAAAATCACGTATGCCAGAGGCTCGGCTGATCAGCGATTCCTTTGCAGGGGTGGGATTTTTATGATGGTTGTTCGCAGTCTTGCTCTGTTTCAGACTCTTGTTCAACCGCGAAGAGATCCCCAACAGCTAAGTATGTGACTGTAAGCCTTTGTCCATACCTCTTTTTACCTTTCATGCCTTGATATAAATCCATGCAGTTTTTTGTTGTTTTTAAGATGAATAAGCTTGAATTGTAACTCCTAACTGGCACACATCCGAGCTGTCATTTTTCCTGGCTGTTCGGTCACACCCGGGGCTCGGACTGTTTCCCAGGAGGCCCAGTTCCTGTCCTGTTCCCTTTTCCTTCCCACCTTTGCATCCGCTGGTCCACCCTGGGCTGTGGTCAGGCCGGCCGGGCACGCAGAGCGTTCCCGTGCTCTGCTGTCCCAGCACCATGGCTGACTCGCACCTGCCTTTGCGTCAGAACACCCTGCCGAGGGGGGCAGACCCCCGTGTCCGGGACCCCTCGAGTTCATTCTTCCTCTGTGTGGCCGGGTGAGCAGCTTCACATCAGTTGAGTGCGCTGTCTCCTGCTAGGGTTCACTTTTAGGTCTGGTCCCCCATCTCTGTAAATGTACATGTATGGTTTTTTTTTTTTGGAAAATGTAAAATAGTCACACAGTTCAAAAGTCAAAATTGTGAGAAGCCTTCTACTCAGACGTCCAGCCTCTCCACCCTGTCCCTCCCACCCCACCCACCCCTGCACACTGTAACTTTGTTCATTAATTAGTTCGTGTTTATCTGTCCCGGGTTTCGTTTTGCAAAAACAAGCTTATTCCCCTGTTCCTACCCAGAGGGTGGCATGTTCGCATCTTGCCCCCCAGCGTCCCGTGGGCTTCTCTGACCGTCATGTGCTCCCCGTGTGAATGAGAAGCGAGGCTCTCCAAGTATAGCATTAAGCCAGCCCCCTGGGAGCCCGTTCTGTGGGCGCGGGACGCGAGCCTCCGGGGCCTCCGGTGGATGTGACATTACAGGAGGCAGGGGGGTGGCCCGAGCCAGCTGCTCAACTGGGGAGGAGCTCGGACATCTGAGCACCCCAACACTCATCTTCACCCTTGATTTCCTCCTCTGTAAAGGGACAGGAAGTCGTGGGGGTTAAAGACTTGCGTATGTAAACAAAATGAGGTCCATCCACATGAGGGAATACTTTTCAACCGTAAAAAAAAAAAAAAACCAGTGAGGCTGTGACACTTGCTACCAACATGAAGGAACCCTGGGAAGGTTATGCCGAGTGAGAGAAGCCCGACACGGAACACGTGTGTGGGAGCCCATTGCTGGGAGATCTTCCCCAACAGGCAAATCATGCAGGTGGCAGGCGGATCAGGGGCAGGTGGGGGCCGCTGGTGGGGAGGGGCGGGGGGTGGGGGTGGGGAGGGGCGGGGAGTGACTGCTGGTGGGTGAGAGATAGGGTGAGTGATAACCTCTCGATGGTCGCTGCACAACACCGAACACGCCAAATGCCACTGAAATGTCTTCTTTAAAATGGTTAATTTTATGTGACGTGAATTTCACCTCCATTAAAAAAAGAAAGTTGGGGATATCAAGGACCTATTGAAGAGAAAGACAGCAGCGCGGTGGTTTTAAGCGCAGACCCTGGGGCCGTAACGCCTGGGTTTGACTCTCTCTGCCACTCGTGAACCGTGTGACCCCACCCGTGTTAATTAACGTCTCCGTGTGCTGGTTTCCTCGTCGGCAAAATGGGGATAATGCTATTCAAGGTGCTTGCGAAGGTTACATGAGTTAATACATATAAGTGCATAGACTTGAGCCGGACATAGCCCGAGAGTGACGGGAAGTGTCAGCTGTTTGGATAATTATTAGAGTTTCTAGCAGAGAGTAGACAGTAAGTAGTTCGCTAATGGGCAGAGTGGGATTAAGTTTGCTGTGACAAGGCCAGCCAGCCCTCCGCAGGCTAACCTCTGCAAGGCGGGAGGTTTTCCTAGGCCTCTGGTCCTGGGGGGCATCCCTGCGTGCAGATGGCCTGTCTCCTGAGCAGGGTGGGGATGCTGGAGCCCCGCAGCGAGGACATCTACACCAGGGGGTGGACTGTTCCTCCCTGTGACCGCACCACAATCGATGTATCTGTTTAGCTATCGACGGGTACTTAGGTGGTTTCCAGTTTGGGGCTTTGTGAATAGTGGTGCTGTGAACATTCTGGAACACAGGAATGCCTTTCTGTTGGGGAGTAATTATTATAGCTTTATGGAGCTGGCACCTGATAATACAAATCATCCAGCTTTGTTCCTCTACAGGCTTATCTTATTGGGCCCTTCCGTTTACTTGAAGGCTTTTTAATTAAAAAAAAAAAATACCCAATGTCATGCGAGAAAGAAAAAACACATCTGTCCAAGAGGGTCTACACAGAAAAAGCAACATGTTTGTATACTGCACCAGGCTTGATTGTTACCATTTTAAAAAAAATAAGGAGCAGGAATTACTTCTGAGATCAGTAAGGAGGACCCTGTCTCCCAGAGGAGATCAGACGTCCCGGAACCCGGGCTGCCCCCCCCGCGTGCTTGGTCCCAGGGATGCAGTGCGGTCGCCTGGCACCTGCCCCCCTGTTGCACGGTGCACAGTCAGGAAGTGATTTGGCGGCTTCCCCCTCTTTTTTGGCAGGACCGGGTGGCGGAGACCGATGCCGTGTCTGAAACCCTCAAGGATATCTTGAAGCGCCTGGTTAGTGCTGCCTCCCCGTCAGTCGTTCTGAGCACCAAGCCTGTGGACGTGAGGGACGTTCAGGTAAGCCGCAGAGGGTGGCGCTTCATGACCCATTAGGGATCCCGGTCCCCCTCCTGGAGAACCTGCGTGCGTTTCAGATGTTCCTCTGCCCGCTGTGGTAGAGTAAGAATGCCCGACTGCTTGCTGGGCAACCACGGCACGTCGATCGTGATGCGCTGCCAGTTCAGGGCACAGGGTTCCAGAGCCCCGTGGGACAGGAGAACAGGTGTCTGGGCGGCTCCACGTGGTCCAGGCCTAATTAGCCCTGACCCTCTGCCTTTCTGGAGCCGAAACTCGACTTTTCACTGTCCACTCAGGGCCTGTGGCCTCGGATCTCATCCTTCCAGGGCTGAGGTAGCTGGGAAACCCAATTAGCCGTGAGAATGTGCCCCCAAAGCAAGGGGGCTTTTTATATATATGTAAAATATCCAATTATATAATAGCTTCTGTAGTTGCATGAGCCAATCATATATTTATATACAAAATGTATATTTGTTCATTTACACCAAAACCTATCATAAGGAATTGGCTCACGTGATTATAGAGGCTGACGAACCCCGGGATCTGCAGGGTGAGTCAGCAAGCTGGAGGCCCAGGAGCACCGGCGGTGGAGTTCCATAGATCCGGCCTAAGGCCAGCAGGCTTGAGAGCCACGGAGAGCTGGTGTCTCCATTCGAGTCTAAAAGCAGGAAAAAACTGATATCCCAGTGTGAAGCCCGTCAGGCTTGAGGAACCCCCTCTTTTTCAGGGGAGGTCAGCCTTTGTTCTAGCAGACCTTCAACTGATTGCATGAAGCCCACCCACATTAGGGAGGGCAATCTCTTTCACTGGGTCTTTTGATTTAAATGTTCATCTCATGCAAAAATAGCCTCACAGAAACACCCGGAACAACGTTTGAACAAATACCTGAACAACCCCATGACCCTGTCACATCGACACATACAATTAACCATCACACAGAGACAACGGAAATATTTCATCTCCGTCCCAGACATGTGATCGCTCTGGCCCGTGTGCTCACGGACTTGGATCCTAAGGACTTTTGCAATTACTTCTTGCAGCTCACAGTTGGCAAGGTCCCGGTTCACAGTAGTGTTTTCTAAATGGTGACCTTGAGAGGTTGGTAAGCTTGCCCCCAGAAAATATCTGAGGTCAGATCAGCACCCAGGGTCCCTTCCTGGAAGGCTCTGTTTGCGTAGAGACCCGTGATGTCTCTGAGAAGCCTGTCCAGGATTCCCAGTCCTTGGTACTTAAGGGACCGCCCCCCCTTTTAAAGATTTTATTTATTTATTTGAGAGAGAGAGTGGGCAGGAGGGAGGAGGAGAGAATCTGGAGCAGAATCCACACTGAGCGCAGAGCCAGACCTGGGGCTCGATCCCACAAATGCAAGATCATGACCTGAGCCGAAACCAAGAATCAGACACTTAACTGACTGAGCCGCCCGGGTGCCCCTGGTCCCCTTTTAAAGAGCACTCACAGCCGCGAGGGAAGGGAGGAAGCCAGTTTGGGAAACGGTTTAAGGGGAGGTCCTCTGGGTTAGAGGAGCCTTTTCTGTTGGAAACGCCTCGATGCCCATTTGCGGACATGACGATGGACGCTGGTCCCGGCAGCACCTGCCTCTGTCACCGCAAGAGTGCATCACCTGGATGACACTTAGATACTCCCCACCCGGATGGCGGATCTGCCTGATGGCCCTCGCCACGTGTGTGTCAGGCCAGTGTCCCGCTTGGTGCCGGTGGGCAGTGGGCACCTGCAGCCTGGAGAAGGCATCCCACTTTCTCGTCAGCACCTGGCCTGGGGCAGGTGCAAACCCAAGGCAAGCTCTGCTTCCGGGCTCCACTCAACTGCCAGGTTCCGGGGAGCCCCTCTGGCTGAGCGCACTGCTGCTTCACTTGGGTTATTTGGATATAAGAGGCTCCCAGGCAGGGCAAGAGGTTATGGTGGATTGGGACCCTCCCTTCCCATAAGAATGGAAAATTGTTACCGAGCTGGGTCAGACCCCCGGTGTGGATTGTCCCCAAGACCCTGCCCCATGACAGGTGGTGGGTGGCTGCCTCTTCTTCTCCCCGGGTCACTGCTCTTGGTTTTCTGTTTGCAGAATCTACAACGCACTTCATCTACTCCTCAGGAATCCTGCCCTCCCAAACCTCCAAGGGCTCACGAACTCAGATTATTGGTGAAGAACATCCGAGCCTCGCTGCTAAGTGATCCTGGGGCTTCAGGCAGGTGGCCGGGCTGCAGGAAGCTCCGGGGGGTGCGGGGCGGGGGGGGAGGGGCCCTGCCAGCTATAGAAGTGACTGTTCCGCCACACAGCAGAGCAAGGGGTGACCTGCAGGTTCTCAGTGGCCTCTGGGTTTCCCGTGGCACCCTCCAATTGGGTCTGCAGTGTGATCCCTGCCTTTGAGCACAGAGCCCCTGAAAACCAGAATAGTAACGTGAGACTGTTAAACAGCCGTCCCGATTTTGCAGGCAGTAAGGCTGAGGGAAGAAAGGGATGCAATCGTAACCTTGCCCTTTTCTTTTGTCTGGAAGGCACCCGCCCTTTTTTTAACTATTGAACATGTAAATACAGGTTGAGCATCCCTGACTGCTACGCAATGCGCACCTTCTCCTTTCCTAGAAGACGGGGCACCCGGGGCACCACGTGGGCGGTTTACAGAGTGTCAGAAGGGCTTCGGGCCCATCGGGGACCCTCCAGTGCTAGGAGAGGCTGTTATCTGAGTGAGGACAAGCGTTGCAGAGCAGATCCTTCTTTTTAGGTGGTCCTGAATGGCTGCTCAGACCCCAAATGCACAGCAGCCTGGGAATGGGACCCATCCTTCCACTGCGATTCGATTTTGCTGAGATCAGGAATGGATTCTTTATTGTCTGAAGATGCTAAGGGTTACTTATGTGCAGGGAGTGTATTCCGGTCCCCAAACCACAGACTGTCCACATTTAACAGCCGAGACTCTGTGCAAAGCCAGCTGTGGGTGATGTCCTCAGGGGTCCCTGTTCCTCGCCTCTGTGGGCAGGTCACATCTGGGCCCGTGTCTCCCGTCAAAGGTGATCGTGAAGATCAGTAAGATAATGTGCGTGGAATACCTAACACTGTGCGGTGTCTGATCCAGTGGTTACTGGTTACACAGTATATTCACAGCTCTATGCCATGGGACAGGCATTGCCTGGAAGCAGAAATAACTGTTGACTAGTGACATGTCCCATTACCCAGATCACAGATCCCCAAACAGGTGTCTGACTGAGCTGAGTCAGATATAAAAACACATCCCTCGTAAGTACGGATATGGGTTCTCTGTGTGGTGTCCCCATATTTAGGGGTCACCCCAGAGGCCTCTCCTTTTGCAAGCTGGTCATCTTGTTCAAAAGTGGGGGCCCCATCTGCTTTTGTAATGTTGCCCCTGGGGAGTGTCCCTCATCCAGGGCGGGGAGCAGGGGCTCTTGAGGTCCACCATCCAGGCCAAGAGATAGCAAGTTGGGGATCGAAAATCTTAAACCCTAAGTGAAGTGCTTTGAGAGTTTGTTAATGGCAAATGAAATAAAGAGTAGTCCCTCAGATGTGGGTGAGCCAAGACGTCAGGCGTTTAATTCAGCCCGTTATATGCAAAATGTGTATGCGCATAACGCAATTTAAAAAATAGAAATGCCCCTTTGTTTGATTGCAGGCAACATTAACCCACAGTGTATGGTTCGGCTGAACGATCCCATTCAGAAGTTCAGCGCCCTCGCGACAAACACCACCGACCTCAGCTGGGAAGAAGAATTCACCTTGTGCGTACAGCCTGGTTAACGTGGGCTTGCAAGGGCAGAGCCCACCCGCTCATGGCTGCCAGGTCCCCAAATCAGCGTGTAGCACTGTCCATACTCAAAACAGAAACATTCAAAAAATTATTTTTGAAGAGGTGTATTAAACAACCGAGGTAACTTTAGGTTGAATCTGGGTTTCTTTCTGAAGGCAGCTCTGGGTATGAGTTTCCTCCTGGCCCGCGTCCTGCCCTGACCAGAGAGCGCTCTGGTCAGGCTCCCTCGACTTTAGAAGTACCCGCCGTCTGGAGCAGAAGGGAGGAGACTTCGGGTTGATACCGGAACCTGACCGGGAACAAAGGGAACAGTACAGCCCATTTAGAAGAAACGGTGTAGGAATTCGAAGTAATGTATCCTGGAGTAGCGTCCCCCAGCACCTTAAGGAGCCGGGCTCGGCCCAGGAGTGTACAGATGGCTTCCTGAGATGGATTAACTGAATCCCTTGTGATGATAGATCAAAGGAGAAAACACACTGATCTCGATACATGCTGAGATGATCAGTGATATTTCCTGCACATTCCTAATTTAAAATCTTAATTAGAACATGATTAATGGCCACTTCTTTAATAAGCTAAGAGAAATCACTGTAAAGGACAAAGACCAGAAGTAGTCCCGTTAAAGCCAAGAGAAAGAGACCCGCTGTTTTGTTCTAGAAGTAGGGGGAGTGCAGTGAGAGGAGGAAGGGAGTGGTGTGTAAGCACTGAAGGGAAGAGGCAAAACGAATCACTTGGAGGTGATAGCGTTGCATATCGAGACGACGCAAGAAAGTCAGTTAAAACTCTCAGAAGTAGTAATGGGAAACTCATAAATATTTCAGTAAAGTGGCTGCCTCTAAAACTGTAGAAATCGATGGCTTTCTGAGGCTTAAACAGTGAACAATTGGACAGTGTCCTGGCAGCAGGTGTCCCGTGTATAATATAAAGAGCTTTTATAAATCCGTAGTGAAAATATGAGCCTTCTCCTGGAAAACCGGGAAAAATGTCTGAGCTAGAAAACAGAAAACAAGAACTATAGCCAGAAACTTCCGAAAAGTTGTTCAATCTCAGCAATAGTTAAAGAAATTACAAATGTAAACAGAAGAGAGAGTTTTTTCACCTTACAGGTTGGTAAAGAATAGGCAAGGGAGCATGGCCGGTGGAAGTGTAAATTGGAAGAAAATTCCAGAAATTCCATTCTGGAAGTCCCCAGTATGTATCCAAAAAAAAAACAAATCTCTTAAATGCATGTACCTTTGACTGGCATTTACAGTCTTCCTAAGGAAATAATCACACAGTGTGTACAAAGATGAGTATAAGGGTGTTTATCTCAGCTTGTTTATAATTACGAAATGTGAGAAACAAGCAAGGCATTATTAAGGGTTGGTTATTAAGGACTGGACTAAAAAAATCTCCTAAGGCCACATAGGAGGACAATGGATGCCTATTAAAAGGCGTGTTGCTCTGTACTCTCTGACCTGGAAAGAGGTCTGATATCTTAAGGGGAAAAAAACAGGTTACAAAAGAGAAGTATACTGTGCTCTGTGTTTTGTTTTTTGATAAATATATAGCCACAGTATCTACTAGCCACGTGTGGCTCTTTAAATTTGAATTAATTAAAATGCAACAAAATTAAGTTCAGGCTCTCAGTTTGCACAGGCCTCATTTTGAGCTCTCAGTGGCCATTTGTGGCTAGTGGCCACCGTGTTGGATAGGGCCTAGAAGGACATCTCCATCATCAGCCAGAAAGCAGCAGAGAATTCTAGGAGACCAGAAACCAAATAATAACAGTAAATGTTTGGGGATGGTGAAGTGGCAGATAATCTTTATACTGATGGAGATTTGTATTTCTTTCTATAATCAGAAAAAAAATACTGTTTCAAGAAATAAAGCATTTGTAAGGATTCACAGCCCTTTTTTTCCTTTCTGCAGTGAGCTGAATGCCAAGTCGAAGGAGTTGCACCTGCAGATTTCAGGGGATGAGCAATCCTCGGAAGGTGAGTGTCGAGCAGGTAGAGGGAGGCCCTGCTCTCTGGGAGGGGTCACCCGGCTGCCCTGACCACGGCCTGGAGAAGCTGGGAGGCAGGGTGGGCCTGCTCTGAAACCACTCCGGTCTTCCCGAGGCAATGTTTGCTTGAAAGTCCATTTCAGTTATTAGCAGGGTCATACATTTTGGAAAAGAATATACTCAACTGGTTTTGCCTTTTTTTTTTTTTAAACAAATACCTAAACTCTTTTATTTGGCAATTCTTGGCTTCAAGAAGCCCTTCTCAACCTCTTAGCCTTAATAAACGTGTTCTGTTGTGTTCCTAATTGTGGCAAAATGCATATACCATGGAAGTTCCCATCTTAACCGTTTTTGAATGTAAAATTCACTGGCATTAAATAACATTCACACTAGTGTGGGACCATCAGCACCATCCACCTCCCGGACTTTTTCCTCTTGCCAGGCTGAGACCCTGTCTTCCCCATTCCCTCCTTCCCCAGCCCCTGGCACCCCCCCATTCTGCTTTCTGTCTCTATGGATTCCAGCTGGCTTTTCCTTATAAAATAATCCACAACAGCTTACACTGGACACATTGCTGTAGAAACAAGAAAGCAACAATTAAAGGTAAAATCACGAACGTGAACATGGACCTGTATGTATGCATGTGTGTAACTCAGGAGTTTCAGTATGTATTAGGTTTTTAAAAATGCCCATAAACATACCAAAATTAGGAGAGGGGGACCCTTACGTGGCTTATCCTGCTAAGAGACCAAGCCATTTTGTTGTCTCCCAGAGTTACAAAGACACAGGAAAAAGCAATTCAAGCTTCTGTTTATTAGCAAGAATTCTTTTGATTTTTTTAAAAGATTTTAAGTTTTTAAAGATTTATTTATTTTAGAGAGAGAGAAAGGGGCAGAGGGAGAGAGAATCCTCAAGCAGACTTCGTGCAGAGCACAGAGCCCGACCCTAGGACCCTGAGATCATGACCTGAGCTAAAATCAAGAGTTGGCCGCTTAACCGACAGAGCCATCCAGGCGCCCCCATTAGCAAGAATTGTGAGCTAATTTCCTTGATTCTGTTGTCTTGGGATAAGATCAGTGAGGTTTGAACCTAGGGTGGGCCGATGTTTGCCTGGAGAGAAGCCGACTCCCAGTCCGCTCCTGAGGCACCACTCCTTTGGCTCCTTTGGAGGTTCATTCCTGTACAACCTGATGGGATCTATGAAATTTCACATTAAAAACAAAAAACAAAAACAGAACAAAGAACAACCATAGAACCTTTACCGAGACTCCCATAGTTTTGACATCTTGCCCAATTTGCTTTACTATCTGTGCTCACACTTGGTGGTTGCTCTTGATTTTGCTTGCTGTCTCTGCACGCGCACAAATGTGTGTGCACACACATGCTGGAGGGTAAATGTGTGAACATTTGAGGGTATCAGGCCACGTACTCCTCCTTTCTTAGGTGCATATTTCCTAAGAATAAGGATATTCTCTTCTGTGTCCACACCCCAGCTGTCCGCTTCCTAAATCTGCACTGATTTCTCTAACCTGCCGCCTGCCTTCCGCTTCATCGGTTGGCCCCGCGTCCTTTAGAGCAGTTACCTTCCACTCCTGCACAGGATTAGATTCTGCCTTGAGTCTCCTGTCTCTTTTCGCCTCCTTTGGTCTGGAGCATGTCCACCGCGTCTCTTTGTCTCTGGTGTTCTAGAATGTTCTGAAATGTCCTGAACCTGGACGATGTTGGAGAGGACAGAATGCGTTGGGAGTTCTGGTTGCGGTGGCGGCTCCCGCTAACCCCTGCTCCCGTGGAACCCTGTGGAAACATATCTTTACTTGTCTCCTGTCTTTTTAGCTCTGTTGGCAATGACAACCATTCCTTTGGACTTATTCAAGAAGCAGCCTTCTGGGCCCCAGAGCTTCACGTTGACCGGCGGGTCCTCCTTCGGCAGCTCTGTGCTGGGTTCGGTCACTGCAGAGGTACGTCATTCTCTACCGTGGCCAAGCTCCAGCTTGACCCACTTGAGATTAGGAGCATCTTTACCTTGTCAGTCCGTCTTAGGCTTGCTTCAAGCAGGAAACAGGATGCTCACCTAAGAGGAGCTCCTATTTCATACTGTGCATTTCTAGACGTGAATGGGACACTTCCTGCCCACGACTGTGTTGAGTGGTCTGCCGCATGGGGAACTTTCCATGATGCCGTGTCACGTGCGCCTAACCCAGAAAGGGCCATTCGATTTCGTTTGGGTCTCCAAGCCTTTGTACCCATCATCAGGCGCTGAGTGGCTGGGTCTGAGCAGGGGGCTTCTCACCTCTCGGTTCTGGGGCAAACCCAGATTAATGACAGGAAGGCTGTAGTACTAAGCGATGTTGATTGACAAAGTCAGGTTCTTGCAGAGGAGGGCAGCACGCATGCCCAGGGGTCGATATTGGCGCTGCACGAAATGCGTAACCAGCTTTCTCTGCAGTTTTCTTACTTAGAACCCGGTGAAGTGAAATCCTGGCAGACCCCGCCACCTGCTCCTGCTGCAAAGGTAGAAAAAGACCGCACGGTGATGCCATGTGGGACCGTGGTCACTACTGTCACTGCTGTGAAAACCAAGCCTCGCTTCGACACGGGGAGGGCGTCCCCGCTGAGCTGTGGTGAGTGCAGCCTGTGCAGACTTGCAGCCCACGGCCCGTGAGCATCTTGTCTCTGTAGACGGCAGGAGCCGCAGGCTGCCGGAGTGAGTGTGGTTCACAGTCTCATGGCCCAGAAAGAAGGGTAACTGGCCAGACTTGTGCTTAGCTTTTCGTTTTTTAGCCAATCACCTATTTTCTCAAATAACTACATGACATGCCGAGGCAAGGTTCAGCCCTGTAGTGCATGCTGAAGCTAAAAACCTAGATATTAAATATCTAGTTCAATGAACTACCCAATTACACTTACGGGGGGACAACCCGCTGTCTTGAAACATTAGATGTAAGTGATCAGTGCAAGTCCTTAGGTTGAGAATCAGTTTTTTAGAAAGCCTGGTGTGCAGTCACTTGAGATCTAGCTGAATTCTGTACCTGTCCCCCCAGCCTCTGCCCCAGAGACAACTTCTGTTTAAGTGTAGGACTTAGTATTTTATTTGTATTTATATTGTTTCTGCTTCCAGAGAGATAATGTATTATCTTCCCAGAACAGGTTGCCTGGCACCACCGTTCTTGAATACAAAACAGAAAGTGAAATTCTGGCTTAATTAAAATGTTTCTGAAATTTTATGTAAACCCAGGTTCCCAGCATTCTTTTGGGTACTTGCCTCACCCTACCCACCCCCCCCCAAAAAAAGAGAGACTGTTAAAAAAAAATCCGAATGGTTGGGGTTGCGTGAGAGGTGTGATTTCACCTTCCGGGAACTGTAGGTTCAGATGGCTTTTGGGCCATTGTGATCCGGATTTTCTCCCGGCAGAGTCTCCCCTGAAGACGCCTGTCAAGGTGAAGGTGATCGAGAAGGACATCTCTGTCCAAGCCATCTCCTGCCACGGGGCTCCTGTCAGTAAGACCTTCTCTTCTTCGGACACAGGTAACGGGGCACGTGCTCAGGGCATCCTCCCTCTCACCTCCTTCCAGGCTCTCCTCCTCCTCATCCGCCCACAGGTCAGCATTTCCTTTTCGGAGTTTGGGAGGCACTCTTTTGAGTAATAAGAGCAGATTGAGGAGGAGACTGGGGGAATGGAAGCCAGGCAGAGACCAGGGGTGGTGTGAAGTTTTAGCAGACGCTTTCACAAAATAAACATAAAAACCCAGTTTATGCCTCATGTTATAAAACTTTTGAGCATTATTCTCCTCTCGCTCAGTACACCAGTGCTCTGAATATCATCACATAAGCAGGACTTGGGGGTGTAGTCCTAAAGGCGGCTTTGTTGTCGTCTTCTGCTGTCCCAGAAAAGGGGCTTGTTAGGAGTGGTCTCCCCCAGAACTCTGCTCGCAAATTCCCCATTTTTATGGTCACGTTTAGGTAATAAATGTCTTTGGAGAGATGAGTTACGGCCTCCCTAAGTCAAAGCACAATCTAAACTTGGGGATTACGTTTGCTCCCTTTGCTCGGGTGTGACCTGCTGTCAGACAAAGGGCAGGTGGGCTCCTTCTCTGCGGCTCACGTCTCCCCATCCTCCCAGTCCTGTTTCTGGTCTTGCCAAGGTCAAGGATAGGACAAGGAGCGGAGGACAGGGGGCAGGAAGCTCCCATCTGACGGGTGCTATCTTCGGACGGCTTCGGATCATCCCTCAGCCTGGCAAAGCTGACACTGCCCCCCCCCCCCCCCCGCGGGAGTGCTCACGGTTCTCTGGAAACCGCAGGCTCCCCCCAGCTGCAGCCTCCTAGATGCAGCGGTGGCCCTCCTGTGGCTGGCTGCTCCCGATGCCCCTTTTCCTGCCCCTGGCCGAGTGCCCCGCTGCCCCATACCGCAGGGACTCCTTCCCCTGCGCAGGATCCCTTTTTAACAGGCTGACGTTCCCACTGTGGGTTTCTCTCCCACTCCATCCCTGCACCGCCCAGGGCCATCGTAGCCTTCTGGGGCACCCCTGGCACCTGGACAGGGCTTTGAAGGACAGCTCAGAGCCACTGGGTGCTCTCCTGGGGGGTCCTCGCCAGCCCCCGCCTCGTGAGCCTCTCGCTTCTCACTGTGGGTGGTGGCCAGACAGCGTGTGGCCACATCGGCCCCTCGCCAGTCCCCTGGGAAATGGAGCATCTGTCGTCCGCGGTCAGAAACCGAGGCAGGAGACACTCCCGTTAATGCCTGCCCTTCTCATCGCTTTGTTCGACTCTGCCTGAGCAGGGGCTGCCTCAGTGAAGGGATAGGCTGCAGCTCGGCGTCAGTGACCTCGGCCATGCCGTCCCCCTGGCTGCCTGGCATCCCCCCATGTCTCAGATGGGCATAAAAAAGGCCCCTGCCTCATAGGGTGTGGGATGGCAACACAAAACAGTGTGCTCCCAGCCCTTTGCAAGCACCTGCTAGGTGGTAAGCGTCCCACAGATGTTGGCCCCACTTGTGGGGTACTGACCATGGGGAGGAGCTGCCTGTATGAACTGGCTCATAGGAGCTCACTGTGTTGAACCACTCTCGGAAAGGAAAAGGCATTGCCTTCCAAAGTTCAAAATCTTCTAAGGGGTCAGAGGTTTTTTTGTTTGTTGGTCTTCCTGCTTTCATTGTTTTTCATCAGCTCTATGGAGGTATGACTGGCATATAAGAAAGTGCAGAAATCGGAGTAAGTACACAGTAGTGAGTGCATGGAACCATCCAGAAGCAGCGATAGACCAAGGGGGTCTGTGAGCCAAACCCGGCCCTGTTTCTGTTCATAAATTCCATCGGAGCCCAGCCTTGTCCGATCATTTCCGTACAGGCTCAGGCTGCCTGCACGGGACTGAGGCCGCCGTGAGAGTTCGTGGCGCAGGCCGGCCCACAAAGCTTAACCCGTTTACTGTCCAGCCCTTTCCGGAAGCGATTTGCCAGCCCCTGCCTGGGGATCATTTCCATCAGCCCTGGAGGTCCCCAGAATGGTGTGTAATGTGCTCAGTGCCGCCTTCCCTCCCGCAGAGCTGCTGGTGCTGAACGGCTCGGATCCCGTGGCAGAAGTCGCCATCCGCCAGCTCAGCGAGTCCTCAAAGCTGAAGGTCAAGTCACCGCGGAAGAAGAGCACCATCATCATATCAGGGATCTCCAAGGTGCGGCCATGCGCCCCGGGGGCTGTATCTGTTGGTAGCCTGGCTTCCTCCTGGTGGAAGGTAGCCCGACCTCCTGGTGACGTCCAGAAAGCTCCATGCAAAGGGCAGGTCCCGTTCCTCACCGGGCACGAGGCTCACTCACGGCCCTGTGTTTATGCAGCTCACCCCGTTCGTGAGGAAGCTTGCAGGCTTCTGGCCTGGGATGCTCTGGTTGTTGAGGGGTTGGTGAACCATGTGAAGAAAAGCTATTGAAAGAGAAAGACTGGGCTGACTAAGGCCAGTTTGGGGACAGAGCCGCTACCCTCTCGCGGGTCGACATGTCTCCAAAGGCTAGCAGAGAGGGCAGCCCCCCAGGGCCAGGGGCCGCGCGAGGGTCCCGTATGCGTGTGGAACATCTCAGAATGAGCAAGGGGAACGCCAGCAAGGAAGGGGCTTTCGTTGTGAGGGATGAGGAGCAAGAAGACGTGGTGAACACAGAGGGTGGGCTGGCACCCGGAGGGGCCAGGGGAACGCGGCAGTCTGTAGCTCACGCCGAGGTGGGCCAGGGGAGGTGTGGAGGGCACTCACCAGTGTTGCCATTATACTCAGGGCCTCGGCGGCCAGTGCCAAGTACCAACTGGCAGGGCTGGCACGTGGTGCCTCGGGCCTCCGGATGCACTTCCGGAGGCGGCCAGCAGGGGGCGGCGGCACGAGGAGTCTGGGACCATGTCCTCTGCTTTCTCGAAGGCTGTATCTTGGAATCACTAGGAACCCACGTAAACTTTACATTTAATGTGTCCAGCCCACTGCGGTGACTCTGTTTCACGGAGGCTCAGATGGCCCCATCCTGAGTCAGTGGGCACTCGGCCAGCCAAGTGCAGTTGTCAGGAAGGGGGCTCCCCTGTGAACTGCGGGGCAGCCCCGGGGAGCCCCTGGCCCCTTGCCCTTGCAGTCACCTTCCCACCCTCCAGCCCACGGGCCCCAAGGGTTAGGGCAGCACTGCACGTGTCTTAGACACAGAGACCAGAATTCTTAGGCTACGGTGTGTGTGCCAATTAATTTCTGCTTGCAGGAAGCGAACTCCCGTAGGAAGAAGTGTTAAAAGACACACTGAATCTATAGCCCACTTCCTGTGCCTCCCTGTGCGCTGTCTGCCACTTAGAAGGAAGTCTCTCCCTTCCGCGGGCCCCCCTGCTGGGGAAGGGTGTCTGCTTCCTCCACACCGCTCCACCTGTGAACGCAGGCGCCCCTCGCAGCCAGGGCCCCTGACCCCCTGCTGCGAGGGGAGACCTGCACTGGCTGCATTTCAGTCCCTGTGAAACACGGCCGCGCCTCCTGGGAAAGACGCCTGTCGTTGCCCCCCGCCCCTCAAGCTGACTTCCTTCTTTTGTCCCGGGACAGACCTCACTATCTCAGGACAATGCCGCTGCCCTAATGCTGGACTACTCGGCCTCCGTGGACGGTGCCCACCAGGAGGACACCCCGTCCCTCGTGGGGGCGGCCGCCACTCCTGCCCCCCGCGAGGACGAGGCCTCAGCCCCTGCCCCGCCGGCCCCGGAGCCCCAGGAGAGCGAGCTAGACTCGTGGGACTTGGACAAGGAGTCACAGGCCTCGGCATGGGGCAGCCAGGCCCCGCTGGACCCCAATGGGGACGAGCTGTCGGAGAGCTCCCTGAGTGTCTCGGAGCCGGGCGCTGCCAAGAAGCATAAAGGTACCCGCACCCACGCCCCCCGCCCACCCGCCCACCCACTAGCTTTTCTCTCCTGCCCGTTTCCAAGCTAACCTTCAGTTCGATCGCCAGCTTCCCTTCCCTTCTCCTCTACAAATCCACCCCGCCCTCGGCACCCTGCCCCAGCAAGCACACCCTCGTGGCAGGGGTGAGCCCGCTTGGGGCCGGTGGGCAGGCGGCATATTCAGAATCCTTCCATCTCTCGGCACTGAGCGGGGCAGTTTGTGGTCATGCCTAGAGGCGCCCCTTCTTCTGTCTGCACTCCGCCCCGCCCCCGAAATAGAACCCTCCAGAACGTTTAGAGGGGGTCACCAGGCGACTCCGCACAAAGCCAGCAGCTCTGCTCATTGTGCCTCAGACTCTTCCCTCCAACTAAAAGCTGCCCAGACCTCAGGGCTGGGTCCTGCTAGCGTCCACGGGCAGATAAGTCCCCCAGAAAAGGAGACCATTAACTTAATGTGTGTGTAGTGATGAGCAGTCACGTCATTAGAATAATCTGTTGTTTTCCATCAGCACTAAATCGATGCTTTGCATTTGCAGATTTTGTCAGCCTGTGCCGTTTATTTAGTGCTCTGGCCTGATGGTAACCTAAAGAGCCTTTCTGAGAGACTGTAGTCTAGGGGCTTGAGGTCCCTTTTAGATGGGCAGGTCAAGCCTCCCGAGCCTCCTCTGTGTGTGAGGATGCACCCCCCTCCCAGGCAGGAATAAGGAGATCCCGGGGCAGAGACAGGACGGGAGACAGAATGCAGGCGCCTGAGCGCAGCTGGGAGTCCTGGGTGCAGCTCAGCGCTAAGTCCTCGCCACCCCCCCTCCCCGCCCCCCGGCCCCCCGAGAATGCAGACTCCGGGAAACCGCAGTCACTCCTGAGTGACAAGGGGAACCTTGGTAAGCTGTTCTGCTGCTGCCTTGCTCCGCTCCTCTGTTCTTGCCGTCACGGACCAGTGGTTCTCAAACTGGGTGATTGTGGCCCCCCTCGCCCCCCAGGGACACAGGCAGCGTCCTGAGACAGTTTCAGCGGCCACAGCGGGGGGCTGGGGTGCTTTTGGTGGCAGGCAGTAGAAGCCAGGGTGCAGCCCCAAGCCTGCAGCGTGCAGGACAGCCTAGCCCCCTCTGGCCTGGTCTAGGGGGTCAGCACCACCCGGGGGAGCTCCCCTGGCCCCGAAGAAGGCAGTGTGCGCTGGGCAGAGCAGAAGAAGAGGTGCAGGGTGGGGCGCCCCTTCCTCCCCCTTCCTTTTCCTGATGGCCAGCAGTCCGCTGCCTCTTCTCGTGAACCCCAAACCGCCAACCCGCCTTCCTGCGTTCACTCTGAGAGGCTGCGCCTCGCTGACCCTGAGTCCATCCAGAGACCACCATTCCCTCATCCCTTGCTTCCTCCTTCCCTTCGTCTGCTTTTCCTTCCGGAGAGTTCTTTCTCTTGGGTTTCCATCCTGGCTGTGCCATGGCCATGCTTCTCCTTTCCTGGCACTGGCCAGGGGGATGGCACCCCTCCGGAAGGGCACTCTTGGGGACCTGGGTGCTGACAGGTGTGCCTGGCGCTTCCCTGGAGCCTGGGCACGGGGACCTCCCTGGACGTGGTGCCTGTGGCGTCGGACTTGTAAAGGGATGTATTTGGCAGTGCTTCCAAACTTGCTTCTATTCCAGTGTTTTCTGAGAGATTTGGGCACTGCGTCTCTAGGAGATGTTGTCAGAACCCTAGACGATTCTGTGTTACGGGTGCCAAAGCGTTTTTGTGCACTGAGGATTTTCAGCTTTCTACCCGGGGATCAAGGGAGCGGCTGTATGGAATGTTCTCTCCGTTTTAAACTGAAGCTCATTTTCTGGCTGGAGAACCACCTGTATGTCCAGTCACAGCAGGGGTTCACATAGGTCCCCAAGACTGCCGGCGTATTTAGAATTCTCTTGCAATTTCGCTGGTTGGAAATGCACATTATCGTGACGCTGCAAGCCAATACAGGGAAGCTAGTCCCCCAGTTCAGGTTGATTTTTAGCTTAACCGAGCATCCATGTTGTTGCATAGCAACGGGAATGTCCGTAACAAGACTGTGTGTTTAGAGATGGTTAAGACGGTAGAGTCCGTGTTCTGCGGACTTTACCATAAGAACAAAAGTATTGATGGAGACTTTGAAAAATACTAAAAAGTAAAAAAACAAAACAAAAGCCCCAAACCGCCCCAAACCTTGCCAGATGTCCTGCCCAGTAACGTCACGTGCGCGCGGGCGCGATGCTTCGGGACTCACTGTCTGTCATTCTTGTTTTGCTCCCGCATACTTTTCTTTTGACCTCTGACCTCTTCTCGTCATCTCGTGCTCATTCCCTTTAACTTAAGAGGATCGCTATGCCAACCAGAATTAATTGCCTACACAGTAAGTTATTTCTGTCTTATATTTTTTTTTCCCCAAACATTTGAGTACAGCCTTGCCTTGAGAAAAGCTTATTTTGTGACAGCAGGAAGCTGATCTCCCCTTTCCTTTGTTCCCTGTTCCTTTCCAGCGTGACCTGCCCAGGATGCTAGTGCCCCCATTTTCCTCCTTAGACGTGCGCTGGTGGGGTTACTGTAGCACGTCTACCCCTCAGGGGGGCGGGGCGCTGTCCCCCAGCTCAGGGGACAGCCAGCCTCGCACCCCGTCAAGTGCATATGCACCGGAGCCGGGCCCTGGTTCTAACAAGCAGTCACTTTTCTAAACGGACTATCTATGGTTTGGCTTGAATTCGAGAGCTGTTCTCTGGGCAGCAAACTACGACGTGCAAAGTGACTTCTGGTCACTGTTTTCCTACCTCTCAGATTTTGAGATGGATTCTTCAGTGACCTATTCATGTCTGTTAGGGTCTGTGGACATAAACAAGAGTAAATTGGGAAGTATTTGCCGTATTAAAGCTCTAATTTAGAATAATTATTTTTGAAGTTCTTCCTATTTGTTTATTCTCTGGCTCTTTTGTGGTTTTATTTTTTTTTTTAACCTTGCTAGAACCAGGGAAAGATTTTTTTTTTTTCCTTCCTCTCTGTCCCCCATTTAAGATGTTGGCTATTTGCTTCGAATTTCACATACCTTCTCTCCAGATTTTACCTGAAGGAATCCTTAGGGTTGCGAGCGAGGTCTGGGTCTTGCTCCTGCCTCTTGGGGTGGCTGAGGTGGTCTGGACTAAAGGAGCTCAGCTTTATAAAACCCAGGGTCTGGACTAAAGGAGCTCAGCTTTATAAAACCCAGACCGGGGCGCTTGGGTGGCTCAGTCATTAAGCGTCTGCCTTCTGCTCAGGTCATGATCTCAGGGTCGTGGGATTGAGCCCCGCATCGGGCTCCCTGCTCAGGGGGGCGTCTGCTTCTCCCTCTGCCCCTCCTCCCTGCTCATGTGCTCTCTCTCTCTGATAAAGAAATAAAATCTTTAAAAAAACAAAAAAACTCAGACCACTCGGGCTCCTGCTCAGGCACTGTGAACTTCCCCATCAGCAAAGGTGACAGATTCTGGGGGCCCAGAGGCAAGGGTGACATACCAAACTGTTAGTTGCTGTCTTAGCCAGAGTTCTCTAAAGAAACAGAACTGCAAGGTGCTGCATTTCAAGGAAGTGGCTCACACCATCATGGGGTCTGACAATCTGAAATCTGCGGGGCAGGCTGGTCGGCTGGAGACAGAATGTTGTCTTCTCCCGGAGGGAGCCCTTGGCGTTGGCCCTTAAGGCACTGAGCCGATGGGATGAAGGGCACGCCCACCATCCAGGGTAAGGCGCTCTAGTCCAGGATAGCCGAATGCACTGTTGACCCCGGATCTACCCGGTGCCTTCAGGGGACAGATGCGTGCTGGCAGGGCTGACACCAAAGACAGAACGCCACGGCCCCAGGGAGCTGAGGAAGCTCCACACCGAGTCCCTTCCCACTGGCGGAGGAGTGCACTGGCCTTTCTGTCCTGGACCCTCACACCTCCGCGGAGTGGTGCAGTGTCCCCTGTGTGGCCTTGGGCTTCTGGCACTATTTACCCCAAAGGTCATTGTGATTCATGCCCCAGCTTAAACAGACCTTAACGTCTTTAGACTATTTAGACTATTTAGAAAGGAGAACGGAATGACGTCCGTTTATGCTAGTCATTCTTCTCGCTTGAGTCAAGCTGCGGATCAGGGAGGGATTTGCATCCTGTCTTGCACACGCTACCAACGTGCCTCTCAAGACTGATACTGTTCCGGAAACCTGTCCATGTCCGTGTTGGAGTGCAGGGCTGTGCTCTGGGGTGCTCTGACAACTGAGACCCATCCCGCTCCCAGGAGGCCTTCCCCGGTGACCGCCCATGCACGGGTCCTTTACCAGACCTGCTGGCCACTTCTCGGGGCTGGCACCCGTTCCCTGCCAGCTCAGACAGCATCCCTTAGGTGCAGAGGGGAGCCAGGCATGAGCACACAGGCTTTCTGCCCTGGGGCCCCCGTTCGTGGGGCAGAGTGCATCAGTGCTAGGGATAAGCCATAAGCAGGGCTCCAGCCTACAGATTTGCAAACCTCAGCCTCTCCTTTCACACGACCCCTCCATCCGAGGCGGTGGTATTGTCCCCACAGAAGCCATGACAAGTCATGTCAAGTTAGGGGACACCCACGCTTGGTGAGTTATGATGACGTGCACCAGGGGACACAGGACATCATCCGGTTCTCGTATGGATATTGAACAATCAGATTTAACAGAACTACAGACCTGCGTGGGGATGGAAGCACAGAAAACGGCCCGTTATAGCCCCTGTCCATGGGCCGCGCGGGAGCAGACCCTAGCTTGTGGGACAGACTGCTGCCGGCAGGAGCGTTTCAAGTCAATACGGCACACAGGTCTTTCCACTTTCCCAATTTTACTCACAGGCTGGAAGTCCCTGATATTCCATCTTGATATGGCAAGAATTTGAGTTTTAGTCATTTAAAGTGCAGTCTCATTTAAAGTTGTTTTTTTTTTTTTTTTTATTAGAGCGAGCATGCATGCGAGTCAGGGGGAGGGTCAGAGGGAGAGAATCTCAAGCAGACTCCCCACTGAGTGCAGAGCCCGATGCGGGGCTCGATCCCATGACCTGAGCCGAAACCAGCAGTCAGAGGCTTTCCTGACGGAGCTACCCAGGCACCCCAAGTGCAATTTCATTTAAAAGAGTTAAAAGTGGCTGCTTAAAAACGTGTAGATTCCCTTTTTAGAGAACTGTGAACACAGCCACCTCCTCCGAATCTGATGCAGACCCATGCTTCTCAGCAGCCAGATGCTGGTCTGTCCCATTCCACACAGCCTCAGGCTCAGAAATGGACAGTCTCCCGGCTGCGGAGGCCAGAAGTCCAAGGACCTCCTGCCGGCCATGACGGAGACTCTGCTCCATGCTCTCCCTAGGTTTTTGGTGTCTGCTGGCATCCTTGACCTTCCTTGGCCTGTAGAAGCATGACCCCCACCCTGCCTCCACCCCCCTCCCCCCGGCACTCTCCCCATGGGCACACCTGCATCCACAGTTCTCCTTTGAATAAGGACACAGTCGTGTTGGTATTAGCACCTGCCCTGATTCGCCGTCGATGAATCACCTCTCTAAAGACCTGTCTATAAATTAAGGTCCATTCTGAGCTCCTGGAGGTCAGGACCCCAACATAACAAATTCTGGAGGGATAAGATCCAACCCGTAACACCACCCCTGCTCACACCCTAGCCCCTGGCTGCAGACCCCAGACCAACTTTCAGTGCAGGGACCCCTGGAATGGGCTCTGGAGATGGGGTCCTCCAGGACCTCCTGTTCCTGCTGACCTCCAGCCGCCCCGGCGAGGGGCCACTCTGCCCCCGCTCAGGCTTCTAGCCCCCTGGAGAGACGGGGCACATGGGATTAGAGCACTCCAGGTTAACCGAACGGATCCGGGTGAGAGCCCACCTTTATATGCCCTTCAGGGACCCCAAGCTGAGCCTAAAGCAGGTTTCTGTAGATTAGAAACACTTCCTGGGCCCCAGCGACCCGAGGTGACCTGTCAGGCTGCAGCCCCTCCCGGTGCCCAGGGCATCTGATCAGGGGATTAACCAGTGGGCACCCGTGCATCTGCCCCACCGGCCAGACTGCAAAGTCAAATCCAGGTGGTGGTGGTGGCTGGTGGGGTAACACAGCCCAGCTGGTGACTTCTCTTGACAGGCTGCATCTTACGGAGATTTGAACAGCTCGAGGAACAGACATTCGTGGCCCCTGGACGTAGCGCAGCAGGCCTGTGGCAGGGGTAGAGCCACGTACACATTTGGAGTCCCCATCCCGCTGCCTGTCCTTCCCGCTGTCCTTGAAAGCCCCGCACACAGCCTCTCCACATTAGATCAGTGGAGACACGCCCTCGTGATTCTGCAGAATAGGCTGTTTGATTGTATCCAAAGAGAAAATGAAAAAAAAAAAAAAAAAAGACCATTTCAGCAGCTTTGACCAGATGACATTCAGCCTATGTCTGGGGCTCTTGAGCTCTCTGCTGCCGCCGAGCCTGGACAGAGCAAATGGGAAGTCCGTCCTTGGCGCCAGGCCCAATGAGCAGCCTCTTAAAGTCACGGGCGGGCGGGCGGTTCTACAGTGCTCATTGGTGAAAAGTCCACAAGACAGGGCTGGGCCTGATTCCACCACTGTCCACCCGCATTTCGGGGAGAAGAACCAGCAGATGCTCCTCGTGGTCCCCCCTGAATAAACATTTGGTCATTGGTGTCTGTCAGGGCTACTCAAGTATTTGGTAGCTCAATCATGAAAATAATGAATTGCCAAATAGCCATAAAGCTCCTCATCCTGATGGGCAGACTTTCTCCTTTCAAAGCCATCAGCACTGACACGCAGATGTGATGAACTCCAGGCTGGCTGGGAAGGTTCTCTGACCCTGCTGGGGTTTCCATAACATGGCCATCTTTGCTGGGGGTGGGGAGCCAGGGGACCCGAGGGAGGGACAGCCTACTGCCCTCAGCCTTGACCAGGAGCTCAGGGAGAGAGAGGTCTGCCCTGGGACGCACCTGACAGTCCAGCTCACTGCTTCTCGGCTCAGAGTCTTTTCATCCTGAAAACTCTGGTGTTTGGTCCAGGCCAGATTCTGGCTGCTTTTCCCATGTGGATATAGTGACCGCACACCAAAGTAAGAAACTGCTTTTTAATTAGAGTCACTCAGACGTCCCTGTTTCTTTTCATCTTGGACTAGTGGTCCCGGCGTTTCATCCACAGCCCATCTGACTGGCCCCCTGTGCTTTCCTCTTACAGGAGGGATTTTAAGGAAAGGTGCAAAGCTGTTCTTCCGCCGGCGACATCAACAGAAAGACCCCGGCATGAGCCAGTCGCACAACGACCTTGTGTTCCTGCAGCAGCCAGAGGGGGCCCGGAGGAAGGGGGTGACGCTCACCAGGATCCTGAACAAGAAGTTGCTCTCCAGACACAGAAGTAAGAGCACCATGAACGGGGCTCTGGGGGACCCCGTGGCCGGCAGCCTGCCTCACCAGGACGCGGGAAGACGCGGGCCCACCTAACCGCCCACCAGGACGGAGTGAGAGTGCCTGCAAGCTGTCAGACGGCCGCCTGGGCTAGCTGGGTTAAAGGGCCATGAAAACCCGAGTCTCCGGCCAGGAGGTTTCCCCCCAGAGACAACTGTCCGATTTGCCACCCGATGCCAAAGGAGACCCGAACGCTCTGCCACATGGGCTGTGCTCCGATCCAAGAGCTGAAGTTAAATGTGAGATTTACGTTATGAACTAAAGAACATCCTATAATGGATGGTGGTGGGGCAGATGTGGGGGACTCAATTTCACCCGCACTGCACTCGGACACATAGTACCTTGGGTCCACTCCTGGACCGCGTCGCAAAGAGGAGGTGTCCCCCTGTGCTGTCACTGTGAATGGAACGGATGGGTCACGTGTCCTCACGGTCTGCTCAGCGTCACGGTACAGCTTGCCCTGAGTACAGAGAGGTGGGACAGAGGCAGGATTTGGAGTCCATAGAGAAATTACGGTGGTAACAGAGACACTATGACAAAGGTAGAAGGTAGTTGCCTTTGATATTAGCCATATAACTTGAAACCATATGCCAAACACTAAATCTCTCCTGCACACATTATGCTGAGCTTTCCTGGATGTTTACTTTGAGCCTGTTTGCAAGTGGGAGATCTATCAATTCCTATGTGGTTTTTACGTTTTCCTTTATAGTGTCAAAAGTGCTCATGATCGTGGGGGGGGCGGCGGCTCTCAAGTGAGGCTAGGAGCAGTAAGTACCCATCACCATGGCGACACCACACACACGGTTTTCCTTTCGCCCCTGGCTGGTTTGCCAAACGCTGCCGATGGCTGAAACAAAGAACTTCTAGGACGGAAGAGAAAACTATTGTGTGTCTCGGGTAGGAGTCTTAGGGGTGGAAGTTTAATAACAAATGGGCCAAACGTCGCATCAGTCCTCTCGGGAGCTCTCCAGAATTCTGCCGTGAATAGCGCTTGACACGTTTAGGGGTGTCCTTGTTTTGGTTTCCCGTGGGGGGGAAAAAAAAAACAGATAAATGTGGCCCACCATGTGCGTATCCCTGGGTACCCTTCGCGCCACAGTCCTCGTCTGTCCGCCTGTCCGTGTGTCTGCACCACTGGCCCGTCCACCCGAAGGTGCCACTGCCAGGGACGAGCTGGTTAGGGCTGTGGCTGTCCCTGTGAACTGTCTGGATGGTTTAGCAAGACTCGCTTTCTTCTGATGAGATTTAAAAGGCTATCATGAAGCCTGGCCTCTATCATGGATAGGAAATTGGGGGCACTCCTTCTCACGAGCGCTTTTGTTGACCCCAAAACACGTCTTTCAGGGGGTAACGGAGCCACTGCCGAACAAAAACCTTCCCGAAAACCCAGATTACGGAACTTTTTTCCCTTTTTATTGAGGGAGAGATTCTAAAACTACATGAAGAATTTTACTTTGAAATACACACTCAGAAGTGCCCCGGGGTCCCAGGAATTACCAGGTGACTGTAAGATGCGTTTTTACAGGGGACTTTTGATTTTCGTCACCTCGTGAAACAGCACCAGGCATTCCAACGTGTCGTCATACCAAGTTAGTCTCCGCAGGTTGGTAATCACTGCTAGTCTTTTTGGAACCCATCTGGTCACTTTGTCTTAGTGGAAGGATTATTGCCCACCCCCCCCCTCAACGCCCTGTGGTAGGCAGCACCTTGGGACATTCAAGAATTAATTCTCAGAGGACATTGTGTGTCAGAATTTCAGGCACAGGTCAGAAGTCCTTAGCACAGTTTTTTGTTTGCTTCTGAAGTTCAGATCAACTCAATTTATTCAATGTGATGGTATCAGAGTTTTATGTTGGCACTTTCTTGCTCTCAACAAAAAATGTCTTAGCCATTCCCATTCCTGATTGACCCCGTGAGCATTTTGTTCACTGTTTAATATTTTTGCCAAGGGCTTGCTTTCTCAACTTCCTGGTGACTTGAAGCCTCTTCCAGGTCCCGGGCAAGCGACAGGTGGGCTTTCTGTCCCACGTGGGACGCAGGACCGTCATGCGAGAGGTGGAGAGCATTAAGGAGATCCGTGTTTCCGTGTGTCTGTCGGGCACACATCAAGAGCCCCATACCTCTGAGTCAGATCCAGGAGCACCCCCCTCAAGCTGCACACATGTTTTCTTCCTCTGAGGGCCTTTTCTGAACTTACAGGACACCCGAGAGAGCACGGAAGGGTGCATGAACATAGCACCGTGAGAAAATGGGCCGTGTTGATACTGTGAATGCTTCTTTAATGGTGTAGGTATTTATGCGAAAGTAAATGTTATGAAGGGTACATGTCAATTAAGATTATACACCAAATGCTAAACATACCAATCTGTAAATCACCTTATTCCCTTGCCTTTCCTTATGCTTTAGGGGCACAAGAGTTTTTGTTTCTGTTTTGCGTTCGTGCTATTTTTGCAAAGTGGTGTTTCGGAGTGATTTCTCACGAACGCTAATAGGAATGTGTGTCTGCATGTCTGGAACCAGGTGCGCACATTGGTTGTCGTGAGCTGGGGCACTGCCCTGCATTCACGGATGCACCCGTGTTTGCAGAGGAATGCAAGGGAGCTTGAAGTGTGTGTGTGTGTGTGTGTGTGTGTGATTAATGTGGCAATAACAAAAGCACCGATCTCATCGTCCCGTTGGAAACCCGCTGTGAAGAAGATGGTTTAGACAGTCCTTTCTTTAAATCAACTCTCAAGTTTAAGTTTAAAGCCAGCCCTTGATTCCTCCTGAGAGCTCGGTGGCCAGTTGCTGCCCACCAGTCACAAATTAGGTGCCTGTCTCGGTGTCTGATTGGTTTTACTGGCTGCCTCTACAGAAGAGAGTTGCAAGTTTTCTTCTTGAGCAGAAAGGCACACGTTAATTTATATCGCTGCCAGCAGGTGTGGGGGTTTTCCTGGTAAGAGCCTCACAGTCCTGACACGTCAGAGCACAAGCTGGTGGCCCCTGGAAGTCAGAACGTTGATGTCCACTGGGTGGAAAACAGGTCTTGTGCTGGTGTAGACCCCGATGCCAGGCCCTCCCTCCCCTGCCCCACACCTGCTCAGGCCCGATTACCAAAGCATGTGGCACGGACACACCAGCGCTGCTACGTTCTGCAGAGCAAACTCAGGTCCCCTCCGGGCCCTTCTCTTCAGCATTCCTGTTTTACGTGTGAGGAGGCATCCGGAATACATCGACCTGCCCAGTTCACCCAGCTTCCAACGGCTCAGTCACGTACCATTTACAAGTTAGCCTTGTAAGTACTCCCCCCCACCACCCACCCAATATCACATCAAAGCTACATTTTTTTAAAAAGAAAACGAAAGGTTTTGAAGGTATGTGGCAAGGTCTGGCTTGATGTTTAAGTGTGGTGATGAATTTGCTGGACGGTGATTGTATTCCTTGGTAGCACTTTAAACACAGGTCCCTGTCCTGCACCAAACTGTGGAAGATGTGGCTGGAACATGAATAGTCTTTGAAAGAAATAAATGTGCACATGGGACACGAAACACCGACTTGTGTTTGCTGAGCCCTGGGCTGTCCCAAAAGCCCCGCATGTGCCTGGGGTCCCGGATCACGGTCCGTCTCCTGCTTGGTGCTCGGCAGTCGGTGTGCATGCCCGCCGTGGGCCACTGCGTGAAAGAGGAGGTGGGCCCTTCGCTCGTGGCCACTGCTGCTTGCTCTGTTCTTGGCAGAGACCCTTCCTAACGTCTTCTGACATGACGTTGGCATCCTATTTTAGGCCTGAGACTAAAACCATTTACTAGAAAGTCATTGTTTCCAGGGACCCCTGGGGTCATGGTGAATGAGCGGTGCTACCAGTCAGGGTTGGGTTGGCCTGGGTCCTCCTGAGGTGCAAGCTGGCAGGAGGTGAGTCTGCGTGATCCCCAGCAACCTTCGGAGGGGCACTGTCCCCTTGGAGGCAGTTTTTTATATGTCCCTTAACTCCCAGGGTCAATGCCTGCCCCCGCAGGCTCTTGCGTGGGCTCAGCATAGGCTGGTATCACACTGGCACAGGGCTTGTGGTAGTTCCTGGGTGGGGCAGGGCACAGCCAGACAGATGGACAGGTCCTGCACAAACCCCACAGGCATCTCGGCTCCTTCCCGGGGCGGCTCTCCTGGGTATGGAGTGGGAGCCCAGATGATTCATGCCTTTACGGGAGCCCTCTACCTGTACACAGCTCCAGCCATCCCGGGCTTAGATTCGGATTCTCAGCTCTGGATGTGGCAAGCGATGGCAACCCGGTGTCTTGTTTGGGGTGGAGGTGTCTGAAACTGCACGGCTACTTCCTGCATGACCTGCAGTCCATTCTGTGTGGATGCTGCAGCAGGAGACCATTTGGGCCTGCTGGAAGGCCAGCCTTGCCCTAACTGACCGGCTTTCCTAAGCAGATCTCCTGCTGGTCACCTCGAGGCACACTCTGTACTCTTACCAGCCCCGTCTATACTGTCCACGTTTTTTTTTTTTATTTTATTTTAGAGAAGAGAGAAAGCGTGAGTGGGAGGAGGGGCAGAGGGAGAGAGATAATCTTAAGCAGGCTCCACGTCCAGTGTGAAACCCAATGCAGGGCCTGAGCTCACAACCCCGAGCTCACGACCTGAGCCAAAATCGAGTCGGATGCGCAACCAACTGAGCCACCCAGGCGCCCCCCAACACGGCCCATGTTAACCCACACCAGCCACCTGCAGTCTGCGAATGTGCACCCCTTGTCCCCAGCACATGCCCCGCCCTGTTCTAATGACCCAACCAAACACGAGCCCCGCCTCCTCCATGAAGTAGCCTTGGCCACCGAGGCCGGCCGGGAGCACCGGGCGCTTCTTTCGGTTCCTATCACTTGACCCCCTATCACTCCCTCTTAACGCTGGCTCCTGGGCGGGCGGTGCATCCACTGGGCTGAGGACGGTGCGCACCTAGTGAGTAATGACCGGTGTCGGCTGGCAGCCCTGTATGAGCTCACTGGAGACCCGGCACAGGGGACGGAGCCCGCCACGGAGGGGACAGAGCCTGCCACGGAGGGGAGCCTCTGACAAAACCATGCTACTGTTTACCTTGGTCGCTTCTACAAATACAGGGTGCTGCGTGCAGGTATTAATACATCGTTTGTAGAAAAGGCAGATTACTCACCACAGAGGTCTGGCTACCAGGATGGATGCCTGAGCGCAGGGCCCTCCTGACGGGAGAGCTACCAGATCCTCTTCCCACGGTGCCCGAGAAGTACCCACGGTCACACTCCGCCACAGCTGTCCCCGGCTCCGTACGGCCACTTCCACAGCGCAAACTGCCACGCTGCGTCCTGCGTGTGCCAAGCATTCACAACTACTGATTATACTGATATAAAGTCGGGTGCTTAGGTGCCTTGGAGTACTTGGTATTTTATACAGAAGCTAGATAAAGATCCAAGACCACAGTGATAGTAACTAATACGAATTGAGCACTTAGTATTGGCCAGAATTTTTTCCAGAGTTTTACATCTAGTGACTCCTACGCTCTTTGAAACCACCCCAGGAGTTATGATCCGTGTCCGCTTCACAGATGAGTAAATGGAGGCACAGAGAGGTTAAGTAACTTGCCCAAGATTACACAGTGGTTAAGTGGCAGAACCAGAGTTGGAGCCCAGGCCGTCTTGCTGGAGGATCCCAGCCCCTAGCCACGAGCCTCGGCTACCCTGTGTCAGACGGAGAGACCGGGACATCATCTTTTCCAAACTTTCAGCTCCCTGTTGTGGGCGAGGATACGCTAAAGTGAGATGCAACGCTTTGCACGTAGTGGGAATTAAATTATTTGCTGATTAGATCTCTCTTTATCTGGGTAAGAAAAACCAGCCAGGTCGTAAAGCTAGAGGGAGCGTAGAGAAGTGGCTTAGGGATACGTATTTTTATAATGTCCGGTACAAAAGGAGTCAATTAACAAAAAACTGGGGCTGATGGGCCACGTGACTTAGGACACACACGTCTGAGGCAGCCAGTGTCGGGGCTGAGGGCACCGCCCCTGGGCGGGGCCTCACGGAATCATGATGCCGCCTCACTGCTCAGCTCGTCTCTGCTCGGGAGGAGCAGTGCTCGTAGGAAAATCCACTCAGAAACGGAAGCTCTCTCATTTTTAACTCCCTCTGCTTACTTTTTAAAAATTTCAGGGACACCTGGGTGGCTCACTCGGTGAAGCGTCGGCCTTCGGCCTGGGTCACGATCCCGGGGTCCTGGGATCCAGCCCCGCGTCGGGCTCCCTGCTCAGTGGGGAGCCTGCTTCTCCCTCTGCCTCTGCCTGCCACTGCCCCTGCTTGTGCGCACTCTCTCTCTGTCAAATAAATAAAATCTTAAAAATAAATAAATAAATAAATAGAAACTTCAAACCTACAGAATAACCCATATAGACCTCACTAGATTCACCGATTTTGATATATTTGCTCTACCTACCTACGTATCATCTATTGATCAATTGATCGATTGCTGTGTGGAGACATCGTGTTTTCCCCGAAATTCTTCAGGATGCATTTTCTGAGAAGGATGGCCTCTTCACATCACACACTCAATGATCATCATCCTTGGGGAGCTAGACATTGAGGCTACCCAGTATCAGGCGCTACGTTCAGGTCTCCCCAACTGCCCAAGAACATCTTTCATAGGTGGCTTTTCTTTTTTTTTTTTTTTTTTTTCCTGCTTGGGGTTCAGGCAAGGTTTCTACATTGCTTTTGTTGTTAATAATAAAATCTGACACTTTCAGAAACAAAACTTTAAAAAAATGTTTTTAAATTTTGGATGGATCAAAGACAATTATATGACTTTATTCATACATGGAATCTAAGAAACAAAACGGATGAACATAGGGGAAGGGAAAGGAAAATAAAATAAGATGAAAACGGAGAGGGAGACAAACCATGAGCGACTCTTAACTCTAGGAGACAAACTGAGGGCTGCTGGACAGGAGGTGGGTGGGGGGATGGGGTAACTGGGGGATGGGCATTAAGGAGGGCACGTGATGATGTGATGAGCACTGGGTGTTATATGCAACTGATGAATCACTGAACTCTATCTCTGAAACTAATAAAAAATAAATAAAATTTTGGTTAGAAATCTGCTTTCAAAAGAATTGTTTCCAGCCTTCATAGAGGGAATATACTGAACACCCTGGGGATTCTCCTGAAGATTCGATGAGCATTGTGAATATCAATCCCAGCCCTGTGCTATGTGTACTAACATGAGAAACGGCTTTAGGTGGCCTCAGGTCGACTTTTACAGGTTTTCACTCTTGCTGTAACCGGTCCATTTTTTCTGCAAACAACCTGCTTTTGTTCATGCTTGCCAGTACCTCTGGTGTGCAGAGGCCCAGAGAAGCATTTGGGCATTTGAGAAATGCAAGCAGGCACTCAAGGGGTGGGAGGTAGGTGAGGGGGGCGTGTTAGCTGTCAGCGGTCAGTCTGGGACTCTTGGCGATTGAGCAAAGACCTGAATGCTGAAAAGATGGTGGTGGAGAGCCCCAGGAGAGCATTCCAAGGTGGAGCAAATCTGTGCAAAAGACCTCGACGACATGTTTGAGGGACAGAAGGCTGGAGGGAGGCAGGGGGTCCCAGGGCTGAGTGGGGTATGAGCAGGGTAAAGGTGAGATGATCAAGAGAGGTGTGGGAGGCTGGGGTGCAGACCTACTGTTGAGTGCCGCTGGGAAGTCACTGCAGAAGGTTAGGGAGGGCGGACCTATGAGCCCTAGCAGCACAACGTGCTCAGCATGCCCCCTCTGCACCTGCTCAACCTTCCACCCTACAGCAGGGCCCCTTCAGTGGGTCCTTACTACCAATTCATACAGGTACGCCTGGCTGTTGAATAAATTCCTGCTCATGGGCCTGCCTGGCCCAAGGCTCTATGCATTTAGAATTCCCATATGAACAAATGGCCCAGATGGGGGCTATGCCAAATTATTCTCCCACCAGAAAAAGATGAGACAGCTTATTTTCTATAGTCTCTTCAAAATAATGCTATTGAGCTTAAAAAAAAAAATCTTTGCTAATGTAACAGGTAAAGACAATCGCACACCAATTTCGCCTTTTCTCTCCTGTTGGTATAGTTGAATAACCTTGCTTAGGCTTAAGAGCCATTGTATTTTCCTGACCGGGACTGTCCATTTTCCTATGGGGTTCTTTATCTTTTTCCTATTGATTCCTAGGAGCTTCCTAGGTATGAGGGAGATGAGTCCTTTCTGATACCAATTTCAAATCATTTCCCAGCAGTTCATCCCCTCTTGGACTTTACTGCTGGAGCTTTCTGCCAAGTAGAATAAAGAAGACAGTTTTACGGCCCTGCACTGGAGACTAAAAGAGTCCTCTAGCCCCTTCTATTTGTAACATTCTGGGGCCACAGGTCCATTCCATGCAGGGGGTCAAGAGGCTACGCAGGCCGCTAGGACCTGGGAGTCCGGAGGGGGCAGAAACAGCTCCAGGGAGCAGTCTGGCCTTCAAAGCTGCCCCGAGGGGGTGGTGCTTTTCCCCGAACTTTCCACGTAGCAGCATCGCACTGGTCAAGGTGTGGATTTCAGGAGCCCCCTGTGCCTGGGTACAGATGCCCGCCCCGCTCGACTTCCGAGCTTGTTGGGGCAGAGTAAGCGCTCCCATGCGTGTTCCCTGAGTGGATTTGGAGGACCGCGACACCCCATCCGCTGCATTCAGAAGTAACTATGATCTGGCAGCAAATCTCAGACTGCTTTTAAAGAAAAATTTGACCCTTTCTTCCACACAGCGCCCCCACCCCCTCAAGGAAATTAAGTCTCCAGCAACCAGCAGAAGAGACTTAAAGGGGTCCCGGGGCTGCGGACGCCTGTCGCTTCCAGGGTCCCAGGACGGGACACGCGTCCGAGAAAGGGACAGCAGAACCAGCCCCGCTTCTCCCAGGCCGGTCCGGATCCATAGCTCGCCGCTCTCCTGTCTACACCGCCCGCTTTCCGACAACCCGATCCACATCACCCGCTCCCGGTTCCACATCACCCACTCCCGGTCTACACTGCCCGCTCCCTGCCGCTCTCTGTCCACGTCGCCCTTGCCCTCCGCACCCCCAACCACGCCTCGCCGCTCTCCTGTCCATGCCGCCAGCTCCGGGATCCGCAGCACCCGCTCTCCCACCCACCCCCGTTCGCGCGGCCCGCTTTCCCACTCCCGGTCCCCACGTCCTGCGACCTGCAAAGCAGGTCCACGCCGCCCGCTCCCGGGTCCACACCACCCGCTCTCCCACTCCCCGGTCCGCGCGACCTTTCTCACTCCCCGTCCACACCGCCTGCGACCTGCTTGCTGCTGTGGGTCCACGCCGCCCGCGCCTCGCCGCTGCCCGTGCACGCCGCCCGCTCCCGGGTCCACACCACCCGCTGTCCCACTCCCCCATGCGCGCGGTCCGCTTTCCCACTACCCGTCCATACCGTCCGCGACCTGCTTGCTGCTGTCGGTCCACGCCGTCCGCGCCGCGCCGCTCCCAGTCCGCGCCGCCCGCGCCGGCGCCTCTCCCCGCGCGGACTACAACTCCCACAATGCCCCGCCGCCGCCCCACGGCTTCCGGTGCTGCGCAGTTTCCGGAGCGGATCGCAACCCGGAGTCCGGATCCGAGCCCGCTCTGCACATTCCACAGGCAGGTAAAGCCCGGGGCCCCGCGCCCGCCGCCGGCCCCGCGCGCC